TGCTGCGGCTGCGACTGCTGCTGCTGCGGACGCGGCTGCTGCTGGGACTGCTGCTCCTGCGGGTCCAGCTGCTGCTGCTGCTGCTGCTGCTGCTCCTGCGGCTCCAGCTGCTGCTGCTGCTCCTCCAGCCGCTGTAACTCCCTCTCCTCTCTCTCCAACGCCAGCTGCTCGTCACGGGCACGACGAACACGAGCCTGGTGCCTAGTCGGGTAGGGGTGGGGGGGTGGAGTAGTGTCCGAAGCAGCGGCAGCTCCAGAGTCCACCTCAGAAGAACTAGGCGCACCACCCCCAGAGGCAGCACTAACACCAGCTCCAGAACCAGGCTCACCTGAACCCGAAGGAGGCGCACCCTCACCCCCAGACGCAGCACCCCCAGTGTCCGCGCGGCCAGCACCAGCTCCCGGACGACAAGAGTCCTCTGCACCCACCGGGTCAGCTCCAACTCCAGAACCAGAAACTCCAGCTCCAACCCCAGCTCCAACTCCAGCACCCCCAGAACCAGAAACTCCAGTGCCAACTCCAGCTCCAACTCCAGCTCCAACTCCAGCACCCCCAGAACCAGAAACCGGTACAGGAACAGGCGCCGCACCAACCTCTCGAGAGCTAGCACCAGCGGCACGCTGCGAGGAGGACTGTGGGGAGGGAGGCTGTACCGGAGGGGCTACCGAAGGAGGAGGGGTAGCCTGGGACACACCTGACGGGGCTGGACCAGGGGGGGGAGGCTGTACCGGGGGAGCAGGAGGGGGAACGGCAGTCAGGAAGAGGGGGGGGGGGAGGAACCGGGAGACCTCGACTGGGGTACCTGACGTAGTACGGAGTGGACTCCTCGAAACGAACGTCACGGGACTCAAAGAACCGGTGAGAGGGAGGGTGGTAAAAGGTGAAGTCAGAGGAGTCCTCAGGGAAACCAAGGAAGACACAGGGGACGGCACGAGGCGAGAGCTTGTCCGCGGAGGTGTCGCGGACAAGAGCCAAGCACCCCCAGACACGAAACCGCGACGCAACACCAGGGGACCCTGTCCAAAGACTGGTCGGTGAAACCTCTGGTCGAGAGACACGTGGCCAGAGGTTCAGCTGGTGCGCGGCGTACCTGACCGCGTAGGGCCACAGAAAATGGGGGGCACAGGCGTGAGTCAGGGAGGTGCGGGCGATCTCCATGACCAGGCCTATGCGGCGCTCAGCAACCCCATTCTGCTGTGGGGACTCTGGAAGCGTCCAGGACTGACGAATGCCCTGCTCGCGACAGAATCCAGCGAGAATGCCGGAGCGAAACTCACCCCCACGGTCGGAGTGGAGACAGCTGACACGACGACCACGAGTGTCCTCAGTGGTGAGCAACCACCTGATCAGCGTAGAAGTCACCTCAGACTTCTTCGCCAGAGGGAACACTGTGGTGTAGCGGGAGAAGTCGTCAACGACCACCAGAAAGTAACGCTCACGCTCAGGGCCTAGACGAGGGGCTGGGCCCCAGACGTCCAAGTGAAGCGTCTCAAAAGGCTCGGTGGCCGGACGAAGGGAGGAGGAGTGAGGGGTGGCGCGCAGCCTACCCTCGACGCAGGGACGACACGGCGGCGCAGGCGAAGGCGGCAGCGACGGCAAGACACGAGGGAGGCCTGGGACAAGACGCTGACTAGACATAGCGCGCAGACGTGGAAGGGACGGGTGCCCCATCCGGTGGTGCCACAGAACGGTGGGGTGGGCAAGCGACCGGCAGGAGCACGACGCAGCGACTGGAGCAAACGTAGGAACCTGACACGACACAGACACCTGGGGGGACGTAGCAACCTGGTGAGACGCGGGGACCCGAACGGGGGGGGGAACCGGGGGCAGTGGCAGTAGGGGGGGCTGCTGGTGCGGCCGCTGGTGCTGCTGCTGCTGCTGCTGCTGCTGCTGCGGCTGCGGCTGCTGCTGCTGCTGCTGCGGCTGCTGCTGCGGCGCACGCGGGCCAGTGTGAAGAGTGTAGAGACCCGAGCCCGGCTCAGCAGTAAAGGTAGCAAGAGGCTGGTAAGAGTCTCCGTCAACACACACCGCAGTCTCTCCAGAAGGCTCAAACCACACACCCACGTGCTGGCTCACGAGGGGTCGCACGCCCACCAAGTTCCGGGAGAACGAGGGGACGTGAAACCCAGTGAGAGACCCGGAGGGAGCAGCAGGACACGGTAAAGTGGTAGTGTGACGTGCAGTGACTGGTCCCGTAGTGGGATCAGCCAACGCTACAGAAACAGGCGCAGGAAGTGGTGTAAGTGTCGTGCTGTCCCGAAAGAAGCAGTGGGAGGCTCCAGAGTCCAGTGTGAACGACAGCGAAGCGTCCTCTGAGGTAGTCGCTGGTCTAGAGTCTACACAAGTACCTACACTAGCAACAGGCAACTGAGCAAGACTAGCACCTAAGCTAACAACACCAGAGTAAACAGAGTCAGAAACACTAGAGTAAACAACAGCATACATAGCATGAGGAGCACTAATCAGATCAGCTAACTGCTCAGCAGACATGCCCCACAGAGCGGAGCCGTAGCGCTGAACCAGAGGAAGCCAGTCAGGAGCAGGACCGCCAACCCCGTAGGTCAACCGGACCGTGTCAGTGAGCTGAGCAAAGCACTGACCAGGGGGGTGAAAGCGGCCACAAGGGTGGCCCCGACGAGGACCTGTCTGAACCTGGTAGGGGCAGGGAGGGTAAGCAGCACCGCGCTGGGGCTGGCGCAGCCCCGACCCCGGAGCCAGCTGCTGACGCTGCTGCTGCTGAGGCTGCTGGGAGGAAAGGGGCTGCTGCTGCTGCTGAAGGTGCTGCTGACGCTGAGCCTGGTACCACGCCGCTGCTCCACCTAGCGGGGCCGGCAGTACAGGAGGCGACTGACGAGCTCGAGGGTCGCCGCCACCAGCAGGTGCAGTGGAGTCACCAGCCGCTGCACGAGGGGTCTCTCCAGACGCTGCACTCCCACCACCGCCAGTCGCAACAGCACCCCCACTACCTCCGCTACCTCCGCCTCCACCTCCACCGGAACCACCTTTCTTGCCCCCCCTGCCGCGGGACCGCGACGCAGTCGTAACAGCAGCCGCAGTCGCGTCAGTAGCGGCAGTGGCAAGAGAGGCAGTGAAGGTGGGTAACTGCGGGACTGTGCACCCGTGGAAGAGTGGGGGGGACACAGTACCAGAGGCGGCAGCTACCGAACGAAGGTTGCTCTCGACGTCCTTGAGTGCAGACTCAAGGACCTCGATAGTCAGCTCACTAGGGTGCTTCAGCAGAAGCGCGTCACGAACGGAGGCTAGGCGGTCAGGGAGGCTAGTGGCGATGAAATAGACAGTAATCGCCATGGGGGGAGGAAGCAGTGCAAGCTGTGCCTCAGTGCAAGCAGCGCGGTAACTAGCGTCGAGCGAGCGGAGGTGAGCGATCAAGTCAGCAGAGCGCTCAAACGAGGCAAGATCAGGAAACAGGAACAGGAGGAAAAGACGGCCGAGAGAGACAGTAGCGGGAGTAGAGTAGCGGGCCTTAATCGCAGTGAGGTACGCAGCAGCGGTGCGAACCTGAGTAAAGTGGACCTCCTCGGACTCAGGGAGGAGGCTGCTGAGTGCGATGCAGGCCGCAGCGTCACGCGATGTCCAAGCCGTCCGGTCAGCGCGCTGACGGGCAAAGCGAGCCGTAGCAGCGTCGTCAGGAGCAGGGTCTAAAGCTGTAGGCTCGGGGGGCTCGGGGAGGTCACCAGTAGCGTGTGACCAGAGGGTCTCGCCCCCCTGGACCTGACTCTCTAACAGACGACGAGCGCGAAGAAGCCAGACGGAAAAGTCAAGGGGTCTACCGTCGGCGTCGAAACGAAGAACTCGCGGAGTCGCCATAGTGAGAACCAACGCGAACGAACAGGCGAGTAACAACCGGGGGGGAAGAGGACTCAGTCGCAGCGGAAGAGCGGGCTAGGGCGACGGGCCAAAACGTAGGGTAGGGCAACGGGCCAGGGCCTAGGGTAGGGCGACGGGCCAGAGCCTAGGGAGGGCGACGGGCCAGGGCCTAGGGAGGGCGACGGGCTAGGGCCTAGGGAGGGCGACGCGACGGGGGAAAGGGCGGGAGCGACGCGACGGGGCAGGGCGACGCGACGGGACAGGGCGACGCGACGGGGCAGGGCGGCGCGACGGAGCAGGGCGACGGGACAGGGCAGGGCGACGCGACGGGGTAGGGCGACGCGACGGGACAGGGCGACGGGACGGGACGGGACGGGACAGGGCGACGCGACGGGACGGGACAGGGCGACGCGACGGGACAGGGCGACGCGACGGGACGGGACAGGGCGACGCGACGGGACAGGGCGACGGTACGGGACAGGGCGACGCGACGGGACAGGGGGGGAACAGGCGGGCGCGACGCGACGGGGGGAACAGGCGCGACGCGACGGGGGGAACGGGCGCGACGCGACGGGGGGAACGGGCGCGACGCGACGGGGGAGATGATGCTAGGCTCGGTACTAGGCGCGGTAACAACTAAACTGGTACGAACGAGAGGTAGGATCAGGCTCGGGAGGTACGAACGGAGAACGGAGGAACGGGATCCCACAGGATCCTAACCTAGCTGATACCATGTCAGAATGAGGAATGGATGTTGCATTGATGTTGGTTGGGGTACATATGACAAACCCTAACTTCTGTACCCCCTAAGACAAACCTCACTACAGGCTACAACATTTGACAGCGACCACCACCTCCTCTTCATCATCAGAATCAATCGCCACGATGATCTCCTCTCTGCCCTCCCTCCCACCATGTACCAGTAATGACATGCACCGTAGGCACTGGTACCCTCCTACCGTACGTCTTCATCATCAGAATCTATCGCCACTATAATCTCCTCTCTGCCCGCCCTCCCTCCCACCACCATGTAATCGCATGTGGGTCGTGTCACCTATGCAACCACCACCTCCTCGTCATCATCAGAATTGATCGCCACTATAATCTCCTCTCCACCCTCCCTCCCACTATGCACCGCACAGTAATCGCATCAGCATGTATTGTTAACCATCCTACGCAACCACCACCTCCTCTTCATCATCCGAATCAATAGCCACTATAATCTCCTCTCCACCACCCTCCCTCCCACCAAACTCCAACCCTATCCCTCCAATCCCCTCCTCATGCGCGTATATACTCGACTCTAGCAGATGTTCCTGTAACGCATGGTGCTCATATCGAGTCATTCCATGCACACCATCATGCACGTGCGAATCCACTGTAGCTTGCACGTGCCTATGCATGTGGCTATGGCAAGTCGTATCCTCCATATGGTGAAGTGCGTTACTATGCACATGGTGGTCTGGGATAGCAGTGTGCATGTGGCTGTGTATCTGGCTTGACTGATAGGTCATTTGAGGATGTGGGTAAATGTATGGCTGAGGAGGAATAGCTTGTGAGTGAGGGTGAGGGTGGGTGTGAGAGTGAGAAAGAGAGTGAGGGTGAGATTGGGAGTGCGGGTGAGAGTGAGAGTGAGGGAGAGGGTGAGAGTTATAAGGGTGCAGCTGATGATGCATCAAATAAGGATGCATGTAAGGAGGAGCATGGCTCTGATGATGCTCATTCAGCCGCTGCGGGTGATGGTCATTCAAGCGTTGCTGGTGATGGTGATACTGATGCTCCTCAAGTGAAGGGTCTGTGAGCTGATGATGATGGTTAAACGGATGTTGGATATGATGGTATGCCATAGATACTGGATAGTCAAATGCCTTGGGCTGATCATAGGCATTCTCTGTCCTTTGCCGGACCCTCCTCCTTCCAACACTACCGTCCATCTCACTCTCCTCTTCTTCACCATCCTCCCTTTCCACTCGACCCTTCGAAACCGTTTTTCCAGCCTGTTCGACTCCTTCCACCGCATTCAATTCCTCCACGCCGCTTTGCACTCCTGCTCCTTCTCCAGCACCGGATATGTCCACCCAGTCGTTTTGACTGGCGTGACGTGTGAGGGACGGAGGGAGGGAAGAAGCGAGGGTGTCGGATCGGTGAGGGAGAGAGGGAGGGAGGTTGGCAGTATGGTGGGAGAGGGAAGGAGGGAGAGAGGTGGGGTGGTGAGGGCGGGAACGGGGGAGGGAGGTGGGATCGTGAGGGAGGGGTGAAGCAGGGTCAGCTTGATGCGGCAGGAGGAAATGAGTGGATGGGTCCCCATGGTGATATGGTGATGTGGGGTGATATGCTGGGGTGGAGGCAGGGTGATACGTGGCTGTTGCTGCTTCTCTTGATGCTTCTGCTGCAGTTCCTGTTTCTGTTCCTGCTGGTGCTGTTGCTGCTGCTGCGGAGAAAGGGAGCTGAAACGCAGGTGAAAAAGGGGGAGGCGTGGAGGAAGGATCAAGGTGGGGGTAGTGACGAGGAGGATATATGACAGGAGGAGGAGGAGGAGGAGGATGGTGGTGGTACGAGGGTTGGTGCGACGAAGGGAAGTCCAAATGGCCCGTGGGAAGAAGGTATTGGTATGGCATGTGGGAAGGAGGAGTTGCGAATGGGTGCATGTGCGCTGCATATGCCATTTGCTCCTGAAAAGCATGTTGCTGGTTCTGAGTCTGATTCTGCTGTTGCTCTTGATGCTGCAGCTGCTGCTGCTGGTCGTTCTGCTGCCGCTGCTGCTGCTGCTGCTGCTGCTGTTGGTTCTGCTGCTGATGATTATAATGAGCTCTAGAACCGTGCTCCTCCTGATCCTCCTGAGCGTCCCCCTCCACATCTAGCTCATGCTCAAAACCCACCTGAGCACCCACCTGAGCATACTGCTTATTCACCTGAGAAAACTCCTCTGGCATTCCCAGGCCAGAGCTCTCAAAATTCACCTGAGCATTCACCTGAGTCTCTTTGCTTGGAGGCTCTGCAGAACCTGAAGCGCTGACAGGACCTGAGGCCTCAGCAATACCTAAAGGAACACCTGAAGCAACACCTGAAGTCAAAACATCGCAAGCACCTGAGAACACATCCACACCGAGCCCCTTCAATTCACCTGACCTGTCCCTGTCAGGTGTTTTCCCAGCTTCAGGTGAATCTCTAGTTCCAAGCGGCTCCAACAAAGTGGTAGCAGTCCCATCAATTGGGGCAGTTGTAGCAGCAGCAGCTGTAGCAGCAGTAGCAGCATTGGCGGCAGTGGCAGCAGTGGCAGCTGTAGCAGAAGTGGCAGCTGCAGCAGCTGCAGTGTCAGACAGGTGTTGCTGCTCCAATGAGCCAATGGCAGGTCCGGATTCCAAGCCATCTGACACCGAACCAGCAGTCACCGAACCTGCTAGCGCCAAACCTGCTGGCACCGAACCTCCTGTCACCAAGACTCCTGATACCGTGTCTCGTAGACGTTTGTTTGACTGCCCTTGTGCTGTCTCTTCTGCCCCCTCAAGCCGAGCCTCACTTGTAGCCTTGGCCAGAGCCTCAGCCACAGCTTCAGCATGGACTTCAGCTTCGAAATCACGCATTTCACTCCCTGATACCACACCACACTCCGCTGCTGTGGCTGCCTCTTCTGCTGCTGCTGCTTCTGCTGCTGCTGCTGCTGTCGGCCCTGCTGCTACAAATGCAGCACGCACAGCAGGAGCAGTATTGGCAGAAGCATTGGCAGTGGCACCGGTCACAGCATCACCAGCAGCATTGGCAGCAGCATTTACTCGGGCTGCTACCATTGTTGCTTCTGCTGTTGTTGCTGCTGCTGTCGCTGGTGCTGCTACTGTCGCCGATGTTGCTGTTGGTGCTGTTGCTGTGGCAATTGCTGTTGTTGCTGCTGCTGTTGCTGCTTCTGTTGTTGTTGTTGTTGTTGTTGTTGTTGTTGTTGTTGTTGTTGTTGTTGTTGTTGTTGTTGTTGTTGTTGTTGTTGCTGTTGCTTTTGCTGCTGCTGTTGCCGCTACTGTTGTTGTTGCTGTTGTTGTTGCTGCTGTTGCTGCTGCTGTTGCTGCTGCTGTTGCGGTTGAGTCTGCTGCTGTTGCTGCCCCTGTGGATTTTTGCCAATTCTGAACCAAATGCATTTTTCCTGTAAATTCTTGTTGTGGCTGCTGCTGCTTTTGCTGCTGCTCTTGCTGGTGTGTGCGTTGCGTTTCAGACACATAGGAGGAAGCAGAAGCAGGGAGAATAACAGTGGCCGAACCAGAAGCAGCCAAACCAGGAACAGCCGAACCTGGAGCAGCCGAGCCAGGAGCAGCCGAACCAGGAGCAACCGAACCAGGAGCAACCGAACCAGGAGCAGCCGAACCAGGAGCAACCGAACCAGGAGCAACCGAACCAGGAGCAGCCGAACCAGGAATAGCAGCCTTTTGCTGTTGATACTGCGGCTGCTGCTGCAGCTGTGAGTGTTGTGGCTGCACTTGAGAGGGTTGTACCTTCCTGTGTTGCGACTGTTGCTTCTGTGGTTGCGTTGCCTGCAGCTGCTGTGGTAACTGCTGCACCTGTGACGACCGTTGCTGCACGGTGTGTAATTGTGGCGACTGTAGCTGTGGCGGCTGTAGCTGCTGTTGGAAGGTCTGCAAAAACGACACTGAAGGGGCGACTCCTTGCACCCTGTACCTGGCTGCTCCTGATAAACTCCCTGCTACCGCCCCTTTTCCTGCTACAGCCCCTGTTCCTGCTACAGCTCCCGTTCCTGCTGCAACTCCCGTTCCTGCTGCAACTCCCGTTCCTGCTACAGCCTCTTTTCGTGCTCCAGCCCCTGCTATACCTGCTGTTCGCGCTACAGCCGTTCCTGTTCCTGCTACAGCCGCTGTTCGTACTACAGCTGTTCCTGTTCCTGCTACAGCCGCTGTTCGTGCTACAGCCCTTGTTCCTGCTACAGCCGCTGTTCTTGCTACAACAGTGTCTGTTCCTGCTACAGCCCCTGTTCCTGCTACAGCCTCTGTTCTTGATACAACAGTGCCTGTTCCTGCTACAGCCCCTGTTCCTGCTACAGCCTCTGTTCTTGATACAACAGTGCCTGTTCCTGCTACAGGTACTGCTGTACTCATACCCAATACAGCCGCTCCCATTTCTGCTACAGCAGCTGACTGAGCTCCTGCTACAGCCGGCGGCGCTGTCGGCAAACTCAAGCTGTTTCCTGCCTTCGCCCCTCCAGCTGCTGCTCCTGCTACAGCCGGTGGCGCTGCAGCTCCTGCTACAGCCGGTGGCGCTGCAGCTCCTGCTACAGTGGGTGGCGCTGCCGGTCCGACTGCTGCCTTCGCCCCTCCAGCTACAGCACCTGCTTTGCTGATTCCCCCAGCAACCCTTGCTGCTGCTACAGCCGAAGCTGCAGAACCAGCTGCTGTTGGTTCTGCTCCTGCTGCTACAGCCACTGCTACAGCCCCTGCTTCAGGCCCTGCTCCTGCGACAGTGCTATTTGCTACAGTGCCTGCCACTCTAGCCGCGGTTGTAGCCGCTACAGCTGCAGGTCTTCCTGTGAGGGGTCCTGACATGCAGCCTGCTGCTGCTGCAGAATCCCCTTCTCCTAAAGTCCCTGATGCTGCTTCAGGTGCTGGTGCTACAGGCGATGCTACTACAGTTGCTGCTGCTACAGTTTCTGCTGCTACAGCTGTTGCTGCTACAGACGATCTTGCCTCAGGTGAATCTGCTATAGCTCCGCCTCTCCCTCCCCCTCCCACTCCCGCTATGGCTGCCCCCTCCCCTGCCCCACTCCGCCCCCCTCTCCCCCCACCTCCCTGTCTCCCCCCAGCAACACCCCCCCTGCCCTGCGCCCCTGTCCTTTTCCGCTCCGCAATCCCCTCTTCCCCCATGGCTTCCCCCAAAATGCTCCGCTCTCCCCCGCCCCCCTCCGCGTTCGCCGCGCCAACCCGCGCTTCCGCTGCGCCAACCTGCGCCTCCCTCGCGCCAACCCGTGCACCCCCCACGCGAACCCGCGGCTCCCCTGCGGCAAACTTCTTCAGCGCAGCTTCCAGCTCCGCAAACTTGCTTCCCCCGAACCCGCCTGCCCCCGCAACGTTCCCCCTAGTTTTGCCCCCCCCAACTCCGCCAGTTCCGCCAGCTCCCGCGGAAACATCCGCGTTTCTAACCTCCTCGGGAACATCTGCTATATTCAGCGATCCATCAATCAGGGCCGTGAGTATGTGGTTCGACGAGTCAATCAACCAATTAACTACACTAGAAGCCGAAGCGCGTTTAATCTTACGCCTCCCTAATAACTGCTGAAGGCGGAAAAAGCGGTCTGCAGTATCCGGGTTTAACCTAATCATCGTATTCTTCCCGCCAGATGCTTTCTTATGCCGATCCTTGCTACGATCTGTACTCTTGCTTCGATCTGAGCCGTTCGTCAGTCGACGCGCAGGATTGGAAGAGAGCGGCGCGGCTCCGGTTGCTGACGTGGACGGGGTAACGACGGGATTCGCGGCGAGGATGGTAGGCGGCAGGAACGGGGCAGCCGAAGATGGGGCTGCAGATGCGAGGGAAGCAGGGGCAGCGGTGGCGGTTACTGCAGCGGCGTTCGCGGCGGCAGCGGCGGAATTGCGGGCTGCGCGTTTGACGTCCATGGCGCCGAGCTCACCTATGAGATTTCAGGACCGTAACTGATTGAGAGAACGAAGTTCAGGTTACAGCAGGTGAATCGCCAAAAAACTTGGGAACCTGCTGACAAAAGAACTCTCGCTACGACCTTAGGAAATTCCGTTGTGATGAATTGGAGACTAATTCCTCAATCTTCTACACTAATGATACACCATCATGCTTGCACAAGTAGCCTTGCAAGAGAGTTGGGAGAACCAAGGATTTGGCTGATATTATGCTACCCTCTATACAGCTTACAGAAATCAGACTGTGTTGGGAATAACTCTCACGAATGCTCTAGATAGTGAAAACTCACAATTTTGATATAAACTGCCTATCTTTGAGGCATATATAGATGCATGCATCCCTTGCTATAGAAATAGAAGTAGGCAAGGGATGTCTATTTCTCTTGCTTTGCCCTCTCCTCTTCTTCCTCCTCTGTGGTCTCCTTATTAGCCAGAGCTACCAAGCAAAGCCCAGCACAAATGCACAATGCACCTACAAACCACCGAGGCTTTAACTCCTCCCCCAGCAGCAAAACGCCTAACGCACCAGACCACAGAATGGAACAAGAGCTGCTGATCATGGTCGCCCCGAGAGACGAGATCCCCTCCATGGACTCGATATAAGAATGCCACATTCCTACTGTTAAAAATAAAACACCGCCGTAACAGACAATGGAAATAACTGCGTCGGCGGCACCGTAGGCGTCTAGAAGTGTGAGTGGGGATAGGAGAGGGAAGGAGCGCCACGAGCCGGAAAGGCGGGCGAGAATGGGTTTGCAGGCGCCGATGAATCCGGCGAAGATGCAGAGGAGGAGAGATCGCTGGAGGGATGGTCGAGCCATGTTACAGAATTCTGAGAAAACGTGGCGCCAGGAGGGGGATAAACGGGATGAGCCAATGCCGTAGGGGTATGCTGATCAGCAAAAGAAATTATTAAATGAGAGAGGAAGAGAGAGGTCGAGTGATCCGATGGCGCACTAGAATGAACTAAACGTAACGGACGCGCTGAAGGTGGAGGTGAAACGCCTAAGAATGTCAAGATCGACGCGGTGGAAAGGCTGAGACACGGAACGGCGCGTCAAAGGAGAATCGGGGGCTACAAAGAATGCGGAAGCAATGCGACTTGTAGACTTCTGTGTAGGCGTGAGAGACCCAGCGAACACTAGTGCTGATCAGAGTTTACGGACTCCATGAAGGTCGTAGCATATCCACCAGAACTACACCAACAAACTTGTGAATGGAGGCATTTGAAACAGGGCAGGGAGTTTCCCGACGATTTGGAGTGTCCGATCATTTCTCGAACTGATCCTGGCCTCGTTTTGCGACACAAATGATCTCGAAGCACGCTTGTTACGCCGGTCGCTAACTGTTATGAGTTGTATGAAAGAAGAGTGCGCAGAATGCAATATCGCGGAAGTGATTACAACTACTGAGCAAACAACGGGGCCTAGGCATAATATAGCAAAGCTAGCTAAGCCGAGGTCGCGGATTCGTGCGACGGTTGGGTGTAGGTTTGGGTTTGGAAAATCCGAAGGCGACGCGGAAGACGTTCGGGAGGCGAGGTCGTCGGACCGAGCCTGAACTCCGAAAATTGGAAATGTACGCGTAAGCGGTGCCTCAGTAAGGAATTAGCAAAATTCCTTGCACTACCCCCCCCCCCCTTCAAGAAAGGTGGTCAATATCAGGCACATGTCGGCGAGAAAGATACTGACGAAGTACCGAGTGCCCTTGTAGCAGGGACGTCGCTAGCAGAAATTTTTTGTCTGTTTGTCCTATATTGGAGGGTAACTTTTTGATTTAATCTGATAATTCAGAAATCAGGACTTAGTGAAATCTGTTCATTCAGAAATGCTTTTTTGCTATATCAGACCCATCAGAAACGTTTTCCATGTTCCTCTGATACATCAGGAGTACTTTCGGGTTTAGTCTGTTACCGAATCTTTCTACCCTTAGGCGTGATTCACGCGTGAGCAAGGCGTGGTGTGGGTGTTTTGCCGTGATTACCGGAGTGTATGCATCATGCACGCCGCCCCCCGTGTTCCCACGTGTTTCTATCGTACGTGGCCTGCCACAAGTGTGGGATTGGCTAGTTTAGTACAACAGTCATCAATCCAGCACCACAAACCCACAATTTCGGCGCCTGCCGAAGGTTCGGGAAGCGCGGTTTGGGTTCACCACAGTCAAGTGGTGCCACCCACAGTTTTCGGGAGCCATGCGCGGTTCGTCAACAGGGCTCTGTGGTCGGGCGTTGGGGTTTCGGGGGGGTCCTTCTTCTCCAGCCTCCTCTTGCAAACGCCCTACCTAGCCATTTTCACAGCGATTGCAGACGGTTATCGCCTTAGTCACGTAAGTCCGCCCTCTCGCCATGGCGGACGACACGGAAACTGCCGAATCACCCACCCCACGGCCCAAACCACCTGTCACGGGCCTCGATTTCCTACGCCGTTCCCAGCCAGCCGCCGTGTTAGGCGCCTCTTCGCCGACACGCGTACCACCGTCTTCTTCCCCGAATCGGCAGGATGTCGCTCCTGTAGACTGGCCTGCTGTTAATGCTAGACGGGCTTTCAGTAGCACACCGCCTGTCTCCCCTAGTACCTCTGCACGGATTAGAGCTAATCCTAGATCGCAAGCGGCGCCTAGCACTTCACGTGGTACTGCCGTGGGACGATTCTCAAAGGCAGGCCGATATACCCAGAGCACGCTGCGTATTGCAAAGACGGGGGTTCCTCACGTCCGCATCGTGTCAGGACCCACGCCAGAGCCTAGAGTTGAGGCTGCTGCTGCATCAACAGCACCAGCAGCTCATCCCACAGGTGATCCTGGGCCTTCCAGGAGCACCATCCACGTCCCTGATCCAGACGCGCTTATGGAGAAGCTCCACGAGCTGTCCAAGGAATTTTGGCGCGACAAATTCAAGTGGCTGATTATCACGCAGAGGAAGGACGGGACGCCGTGCATGAAGTGCAGTATATGCATGGCTCACGGTCCAGCCCACTGGAAGTTTGGTAAATACGGCGAAGGTGGCGTTGATATCCAGCGGCAAACAATGCGGAAGCACGCGCTCAGCCTCAAGCATCAAGACGCAGTCAAAGCCAAGCTTCGCGCCGAAGGCGGTAAGGTTGCACAGAGGGGCATTGAGCAGTTCGAAAACGACGACAACGAGACTTCTCGGTTGAAACAACTGATGCTGGTCGTGCTATTTATCTGCAAATCCGATTCCCCCATCTCCCTGTTTATTGATCTTGTTCGCCTGTTGGGTGAGCTTCAGACGCCGCACATCCCGGACAAGTCCATAGGGACATACCAGTCAGCGTGAGTGAAATTCTTTCTTGGTTTGTGTTTTTATTGTCACTACGACTAATACCACCTTCACTGTGTTGTGCAGGTACGGCTTCCGTGAAATTACCGAAGCGATCGTCACCAACCTGAGGCAGCAGCAGATGCGCCACATCCAGGCGTCTCCGTTCTTAGGAATTCAACTCGACGAGAGTACCGACCGGCGCAGAGGCAAGCACATGATAGTCTATCTTAGCTTCATTCGCGACGCCGAGGTCGTCACCGAGCTGTTTGGGCACCTGACAGTCGAGAAGTGCGACGCGTCGTCTCTGCTGACAGTACTTCTCGCCCATTTGGCCGTGACGGGCGTCGACATCATGAAACTGACGGGCATCAGTACGGATGGCGCGAGCGTGATGCGGGGTTCACAGGCTGGAGTGGCGACCCAGCTGAAACTGCGAGTCCCACACCTGGTGACGTGCCACTGCATCGCTCACAGGTGCGATGACAAAATCTCTCTGGCGGTGGTGTATGATCTTGTTGTCAAACGTTTTTCAGTGTTCTAACCGCTTCTTTTTGCACACTTGCAGGGAGGCTCTCGCCGCGAAGGACGCGGCGGAGGCGGTGCCCGACCTCAGCATGGTCGACACGGTCGTGCGGAGCATCGCAGAGAACTTGGGGAGGAGCATCGTCTTGCACTCCCGGTTCATGGAGCTACAACACATCCTGCACGAGACGTCTCTGGAGGTGCAGGGTTTTAAAGACGTTCGATGGCTGGCGCGTGGCGATGCGATTCGGAGGCTCGTGGAAGTCCTACCGGCGGCGATAGTGGTGTTGTGGGAGCAAGACAAGAAGGCCTACAAGACAGTCTCGAGTTTCAAGTTCCACTTCTTCCTGTTTTTCCTGGCAGATGTGCTGAAACTGCTCAACGAGCTGAACCTCAAGTTTCAACGGCGCATGGTGAGCAGTAGAGAGGTCCGTGCTGATGTTCATGCACTCGAACGTGTCTGACGTTGGCTTCTTGCCGTGTGCAGGTGGACATCACCCGGGTGGCATCAATGGTCCACAACACGTGCGACAAGCTGAAGCAGCGACACATCGAGCACGGCGTCAACTACGCTGAGGATAGCGAGTTGCTCACCGAGTTCATGGAGAAGCACGGAGCGTTGGACAAGCGGGAGGTGACGGTCGAAGGCATGGATGGGGAGGGAAGTCCCGTTAAACACACTTTCATGCTGCACGAGGACGCCATCAAGGGACAGAAGTCAAAAGGCGACATAGAATCATGCATCACTGTAACCCGCCTGTTTGCGCAGGAAATTGTGAAGCACCTCCTGAAGCGGATGGAGAGCCTAGACACCCTCACCGGAGCGAAGCTTTTCCTGCCTGACGCGTACCCCGAGGGAAGCGCG